GGCAGAAAACACAGGATTTGTGTACTGGCTTCTGGGTGGACTAAAACCAGTTTTAAGACTAAGAAAAGTCACCAGCTCTGTACTTAGTTTCTCTTCAAGGTCCCACTGGGCCAAATTTTGTCATATTTTTACAGCTGTAGATTCCTAAAGGAACCTCACTACAAACAGCAATTATTTTGTACCTTCACCAGCAGTCTGGCTCACTGAGTTTGATGGGAGTTTGGCTGCATAAGAACCTTGGTATTTGTCTCAACATATTTAATTGGACTTAAAGTGTGAGCTCTAGGAATAGGAGGCTGTTGTTACACGAACTTACATGATGCTAATACAGGGTGCAATTAAATGACTACAAAGACTGGGTACATGAGTTGCCCTGCCTGCCTCTCAGGTGGCCAGACTGCATTAAGCAGCTTTAATTTTGTGGCTTCTTTGATTCTTGGAGCAAAGTCCTGCCCTCAGACAAGCACACACAATCTCCACTGAATTAATACATCTCCTGTATATCTCTCAGTGCTACGTCTAACCCTTTCTCCAGTCTTAGACTCCTCTGACAGCTCAGCGAGTGTAACATGATTCATCCTTCCCTCCTCTTTCTCTTCCCTTGACTAGACACTAATAAACATAACAGAACTTGAGACAAGAGAAAGAGGCCCCTTACAATGACAGATTCAATCACATCCTACCAAAACCAGAGGAGGGCACCACTACTTCTTCTAATTAAGGTACATAAATAAATGGGAGAGAATGGCCCACATTCACATCTGGTACAAGCAGGTGCAGTCTCTCAAGCCTCCATTCTAAGGGGTTTGCTTAGGGCTAAATTTGGCCTGAACAATAAAACTGTGTATTCTATAGTTTTAAAGGACCTGAACTGTTCCACTCAGCAGTACTTGTTTTCTCTGACCCAAAACACACACAGATCTCCTCTGGGACTCGATGGCAGGCAAGTCCTTTATGTTGTACGAGTGGTTTGCTCCTCTGGGCACATGTGTAGTTCTTGCTCTACACCCTCACCTGTCTCCTGCACCAGCAGTGCCCCCACAAATGCTGTATAACAAACTACTCACTCATTAGGTCACCAATCCCTGTGTTGTGCATTGGACTACAGTAAAACTTGTTTGACTTTGCAAGAGAGTTCTTGTTCACAAGGGAAACGTGACTCCTGCTCCTAAATGCAGAGCCACAAATTACTTTTGAGAGTGTCCCTAGAATACAGCTGGACACCTCTGAGGTTCTCTTGTACTCTGCCTTGATTTACTGTGTGACTGCAGACAACTCACTGTATACAGGAGATTCTGTATACAGAAACATAAAGTAAGGAGACAAAAACTGGCAAATAAAGAGAGACAACACAGGGATACACAGACTAGGAAGGCAGCAGTGAGGCTTTTAGATGTCATCGTGGAAGCAGAGTTAGAGATGCTGAACCTATAGCAGCTAGTAGATATTGGTTTTATTGCAGATTAAATAGCACATGTGGATGAGAATGGGCAAGAGGAACGAGGTAGGAACACAGACACAACCACACTGAGTAGGTCCTAAAAAATCAGTTCCATATTCTAACAGTGGCCAGCATCATCTCCTTCAGGAAAACAGAAAAAACACTGCATTCTGTGGATTTGACACAGTCTGCCTCCCAGTTAGCTAGCTAAAGGCAATTATAAGTAATAATGAATTACAAAATAATAATAGTAATAAAAAAATTATTAGAATAAGGAAGAATTAGCTCAAATCAGGGGTTTGGAGAAAAAAAAAAAAAGATTGAATTTGGAAAAAACAAACAGTTTGAATTGGAGATGTAAAAAGGGAATGAAGCAACAAGAGAAACCAGTAGCCTGGATGTAGCAACTGGGAGAGGACAAGGGACTGAAGGAAACTCCAAGAAGTCATGCAGGGATAACAGAAGAGGTTTATTAAAAGCAATAATGAATATCAGTGGAGAAAGAAGTTGAACATTTTGCATTTCTATTCAGGCCACATTAAGATGATGTCAAAGAGAGAAACCAGTTGTGTATTTACTAACATAAACAAACTCATTGACCCGAAGGTGTAATAGTTAAAAAAAAAAAGACGTTTGAGAGTGAGAATGTATTAACAAAATATATGAAAAACATTATCACAGCGCTGTGGAAGGAATGTATGATGTTCTCCACAGACAGCCCAGAACACAGTTTTCATTTAAAAAACAAGGAAAAACACAGCTTTCTTGCTGCGTAACAGATGCCCCAGCAAGCAAAGGATGCTGACTGAAGCACGAGAGGGCAGAAAACAGAAAAAAAAGCAAATTTCCATTTGAAAAGCAAAGCACCTAAACATTTTGATCATGAAAAGAGGAACTACTATAGTAAACTTGCGCACATCCCCTGAAATGCCAACTTACTGTATCAGAGCATGAAGAGCATAGATCCAGTTCTGCCTTCTGACACATCAAGAAAATTGTGTTGACTGATGGAAACATTTGGTCTCAAATCAACAAATCAGCATAAAAATGTAGGGCCTTCCTGTCAACTAAGCCATTAAATCATAAGATACACACAACTCTTAACAGATCTATACCAAGGCAACAAATTCTTGCTCCTTTCCAGTGTTAAGTTAAGGTCATCCTGCCTAACAAACCATTTCATATAGACTCTCTCCAAAGTCTCCTCTGCAGGCAATAGCAGATAACAGACAGCTGAATGACTGAATACTCTAGGTCATCCAAAAAATTAGATCAAAGAGTCCCTGTAGTCTATTGAAATGCAATTGCTTCCAAATCACATTGTGGTGTTCCAGGCTTGAAAGAATGGGTCACTGCAGCTTTATTGTAGAGAAGCTATTGCTAATGAAAGGAACAATGGAAAGATTAGTGCTACCAACCATATAGAAGAAACACCACTTTCGGTTTAATTGCAGTGAACAAAGCAAATAGGAAAGAAGGGCAACCAAGTGACAAAAGTAGTTGGTGCAAAAAGGATATAGAAGCTATTCACAAGGTTCTCTTGATCAGAGCACAGCGTCCAGACTTAACATATGATTACTGAATTTGGATCACAGTGAGAAGTGACGTGGTTGTCATTACAGACAGCTGACGACACATTTTTAAGAGGGCAGCCCTGTAAACTGAAAGACACAATCCTGTTGATAATTTGCCTGAGATTCATTAGGTGCACTGAAATTAACAGATAGATAAAGGAACAATTATACTTTGGGATACCTACTCTACAGGAGATTACTGTAAGTAAAGGTTTACTTCATTTACCAGTTTAAAAATAACAATTTAAGGTGAAATCTATTGAACCTTGGAACTAATTAAAGAGAGATTCTAATTGCTGATAATCTAGGTATTGCCAGAATAAATTCGTTCATGCCACAATATTTATTCTCTTTTGATCAGTTTCTGGATCTTTCCTAAGTGAAGCTCACCAGTCATAACAACCTCTGTGTCGAGACAGTGGTAAAAGATCCATTTCAGTCTCAGTTAAGATCACCACATTCTGTTCCTCTGTGACCTGAGGCAGGCTTGAACCTTCCTTCTCCAGACAAGACTTGACAAGCCCAACTTCACTTAGCTCAGAAAGCATGTTAAAAACCAAAACGTGACCAAACAGGGGGGATCACCTAAACTGTACCTGTGGCGTGTAGGTAGAGCATTTCCCTTAGAGGAAAAGGCAAAACGCTGAAATAAGTGAAAACAGGGTATTTTCTGAGTAAATCTGGTAAAAAGTAGCAATTGTGAACACGAGGCTTCCAGAGAAACAACTAAGCACATCCAATATTAACAGTTCAGCACTAACAACTTTAAAAGCCAAAGAAAGCTTCATTCCAGTTCCGGGCACCTGCTCCAAACTCCCACTTGCAACTGTTCAAGTGAATTGTAAGATACTAATTCCTCTAAGTTGCTGAGGAAAAAAAAAAAAAAAGAAAAAAGAGTAGAGCATTCAAAATATAACCCAGACCACTTCAACCAGTTATCAACAGCCCTTCCTAATGAACAGGCTTCTCAAGTCACTGATTCCAGTTTCAAAGGAAACACTGGCTGTCTCAAGTGCTCCTTCTTCGGTCCCATCACACAGTTCAATAGCCCTTAGAGACAAGTACCTTTGCAAAACAGATTTCTAGAGGGTGACCCAACATATCCTCTGGACCTTAGTCAAGCACAAAGCACACAGATGACTTCATATAGCAGTGCTAAAATGACACTGCCTTACTCTGCCTCCACAGCAGACTGCTTTGCAAGTGCAAGGGTTTAAGCCTAAAAAACATCCATAACTATTAATTCTGTAGATGATTCTTCTAAATTGCATCAGTACAGACTTCTCTGCAGGCAATGAGCACTGTCAAACACACTTTGAAAAAAACACTTGTGAGTGACAATTTTTCATGAACTTTGATGACAGCCATAAATGGAAAATATGCAACGATAATATTTAACACGTTCATAAGAGATCAACTCATCAAGACTTGTAAACCCAAATAAGGCTTGAATTATCAAAGGAAACAAAGGGAAACTGGTTCATGACTCCTGCTGAGCTCGGAAATTCACCCATCCTTAAAGCAGTTGACAAAACTAGGTAAAATAATATTTTTTCACAAGCTTCTGGATAGTTGTTGGTTTTTTTTCCTTTATTCATAGCAGTTCACAAAGGCAGGAAGAGCTTATACTTCAGAGCGAGCAGAAATGTATAAACTATCACAAGCCATAACAAATTGTTATGGGATAATTACTAGGACTACCAGCCAGTCTTCTGTTTGTTTTTTCCCCTGAAAGACTGTCATCAACAAATACAAAGGGTGTGATGTTTTCCCTGAAAGACTGTCATCAACAAATACAAAGGGTGTGATGCAGTTCACTGGCTTTAACTAAATCTCTTCTGTTAAATGCAGTAGCAACTAGTGGTGCTAGGAAAATCAGCAAATGGTGTACGGTACCCTGAATATTATAGGAATTACATTCCTTCAGCTACTATTCCACATACGAAAATACTTTTAGTGCTGATTTGTTTTAAATAGACACTTACCAAGCCTACACATGTAGATATTGCTACCGAAGAGGTGCTATCATTCCTTATAAATCCCTGGTAGAAACACTGCTCAATGTCATGTTCCTGAGAATTTGACACTCCATCTTTCCCGAGTACCTGGACAATAAAACTGTTGCTTAAAATGGTCGAAGGTTTAAGTTCTAAGTGAAGTTCCTGTCCAAATGCTGAAAATTTGTAGTGCAAGGAACTCTTTGAACTCTGAGTTGATCTCTTTCTCCTAGTACTGTGCAAAACATCATGTGAAATGTACGATCCGCTGGAATCCACTCTGACAGGTGTCACAAACACATAATCTGTAAGGATAAAAAGTTAGCCATCAGCTTTTGTATCCCACAAACCAGGTAAGCACCACTCTGACCCGGGGAGCACCACGCATTCACTCTGGGATGAAGCCTTCCCTCACTCAGGGACTGGCCTGAAAGCTCTGCAGGCTCTGTGTGTGCAGCCTTGCCTGCATAAATTCACCCCTGTTAAGTCTCACAGGCTCTCAGACTGTGTTTGTTTCTTTTGTGCCCCACTGAGAGGCACAGACTAACTAGCATAGCTGTGAACATTCCCACAACTGCTCCTCTGAAGACATTTGTCATCACCAGCAGATCTGTAGACTTTCCCCTCCCCCTGTATTAATTGCTGTCAAATGTGAAGGCCGTTCTGGTTTGAGAGCCTTTTTCCTTCCCTAAGAATGCAGCAAATATTGTATCACTGTAGGGATAACCATGACTGAGACTTTGCAGAACTATACCACTTGTTCAAATGGATTAAAGGATTAATTTATTAATGCCTTAACTGAGTGAGACCTCATCTCTTTGTAGTGACTTGATTAGACTGGGTTTCAAATTGTAACTGACCTTCAGCAGAAAGAGATTACATCCTACCTAATAACCTTTAGTCAACCACCGCTAATTGCATGTCAAAGAAATGTATTGTTTTGAATAAAACGTGAAAAATTACAAAACTATTTTTGAGAATGCTGAGATCTACTCAAAACCACTTAGGAAAGGGGAAAAAATAGAGGCCATGATTCACCTGGCTGTGTGTGTCTTAAGCCTGAAGTACATTACCATTGGTGTTGACCTAGCAGGCATTACTTGTGTCCCAGAACCAGGGTCTGAATTTTATCTGTTTCCTGAACTAGGATCTTTGCACCTAGTCCTGGTTACACAAGTAATTATGCTGAATAAACTGCTTTCCAACCCCATTTTAATTTTTGGGCTGTATTTCTCTATGGATACTTAGATGTCCATGCATTTAACAAAACAATTAATTTCTCTTAGTAAATTGAAATAACACCATGTAAAAAAGAGGAAAACCCCTTTCTTCTTGTGTTGTAACAGATGTTGCAAAAACTATCAATCTCTTTGCCTGAATAGACTTTATTGGACACACATTAAGCTGAGAACATAACCACTGATAGGTTGTTTTCCCTTAGACAGTGGAAACAATACATCAAGAGCTTTCACTTTCCTCTAGTGGTGTTAATCAACAGCAGAAGTTGAGGACGCTAAGAAGGCTGGTGGCCAAAAAATGTGAGCAGCTGCTAGAGAGAGGGAATCCCCAGTGAGCAGAGAACAGGGTGCAAGAGGGTTTTCCTTTCTGCACCCTGGTGTGGTTCTCTATTGTACTTTGTTTCCACTCACACCCAGTAAAAAGCATATACTGCACTTCAAACATCCCAAAGTCATCAGCATCTACATGTTAGTCCCTGCGACCTGGGAACAAACAGCTCCTGAGCTCCTGCTCACAGGAGTCCTTTCTCTCCAGGTTTGTTTTCACTCAGCCTGCATTGCACGGCTCCTTCCGCTCTCCCACCCAAATATTTTCATTACTTTTGTCTCACTGCTTCCACAACAGACACATGAGGTTCTGCTGTTGCGGCTACACACACATTCATCTTTCTAATCACACATGGAAATGTGGATGTATTTACTATCCCATTCATTTGCTTTGCTGTTACACGTAGTTCCTTTCAGCTTTAACACACGGGGCTTAACAAGTTAATCCCTGCCCATGGTTCGCTATCCCACAGCAGCCAGCCTGCCTGCACTTTATGCTCCCCAAACACTGCGGCTTCTTCCCTTTAAATGCTCACTCCACCGAAAAAAAAAAAAAAAAAGCATCCATGCAAATGTTCACATAGACAGACACAGAAAGAGCTATACAAACCATGAGTCAATTCACTGATGCTGTCACTGGTTAAAGTTGCTGCATGAGACATGCAACAGAGGCAGCACAGCTGAAGGGTCTGCAAGAGAAAAAAAAATAAAAAAAGAGAGAGAGAAAAGGAGTATTGGGCGAGATTTCCTCCACAAGGGAAGGCAGAAAGACAAGGCACCAGGGACTGCAGTAACCTGGTACGGTAAAGCACACTAGGCGACTGCAAAAGAAAAGTGCTCTCGACCTGCCTTTACAGTGCTTCCAAGCCACGGGAGAGTCTGGAATTGCATGGAGCTGCCGCCGCCGAGGATCGCGACAGGTAAAGTCCAGACGGCCAGCAGGAGACAGTCCATGTTCCGCCGCGCACCTGGCGTGTGCTACCTGCCCCCGAAAGCGTGCGGGCGAGCCCGGCCGCCCCGCATGGTCACCTGGGCGCTGCCCCGCAGCCGCTCGGGCGGCCGGCGGAGCCCGTGGAGCGGCGCCCAGGTGAGCGCGCCCCGGCCGGCCCAGCGCTTTGAGCCGGCCCAGCGCTCTCGGCTGGGCTTTAACCCGCCGCCGCCGCGGGGCAGCGCTGCCTCCGGCACCGCGAGTGCAGCGGCCGCCGCCCGGGGGGCGACGCGGAACGGGCGGGCGGGACCAATGGGGAGGAGCGGGGCCGGGCCGGGGGAGGCACCTGGGACCGGGAATGGGGCGGGGGGATCGGCCGCGGGACGCGGGGAAGGGCCGGGCTGGCGCACCTGTGCGGATGTGCGGGGGGCGCGGTCCGAGGGGTGAATCGCTGAATCACAGGATGGGTCAGGTTGGAAGGGACCACAGTGCGTCGTCTGGTCCGACCAGGATCGTGCCAGAGCACATGGCACAGGATCGCATCCAGGTGGTTCTTGAGTATCTCCAGTGAAGGAGGCTCCACACCCGCTCCGATCTCTGTTCCAGTGTTCTGTCACTGCACAGGAAAGTTGTTCTTCCTCATGTTGAGGTGGAACTTCCTGGACATCAGTTTCTGCCCATTCCTCTTGATCCATTGCTGGGCACCACCAGGAACAGCCTGGCTCCATCTTCTTGGCACCCCTCCTTCAATGTAGACATTGATGAGGTCTCCTCTCAGTCGCCTCTTTGCAAGGACCAGAGATTTGCGAGGGTGCTGGACCAGCCATGCAGCTTCCCCCACTCCCTTGAAGATAACTTGTGCTGTTATTTTCTGTTATTTTTAAAAGTCGCTTCATGGGCCAACAAAGAAACGATTCACATGAAGGTTACGTGCTTGGGAGACAAACACAGCTGTGAGAGGCATGAGCAGGTACTGGATACTGAGCACTGATGTCCATCAAGGAGCTGACTTGCACGCAGTAGCTCTCACACTGAGTCAACACAGCATCAAGATCTGGTCCCACCCTATCTAGTTGTGCTATTACGCATTCCCTTCTACAGAAAACTTCAGTAAAGAATCAAAGACCTAAATGATCTGAAAGCAAACAGCTATTGAAGTGAATGTGACTGGTCCAGGCTGGAAATCAACACAGAACTTGGTTCTGATGATTTTGGCTGCACTTGGAGAAGTGTCCCTCACCTCATGATCTCCCTTTTGTGCCAGAGAGTGGTCTACTATGTGTCTCAGTCCAATCTCACTCAAAATCTCCCTTGTCCTAGGGTCACATCGTGAAAATAAATGGTAAATGTGTCAATCTTTTTGCTCCAGTTGGCACAGGAGCTGGACAGTACAATGGAAGCTGAGGTGAGAGGGAGGTTATCTCCTTTACTTGCCTCCTCCACTGAGTGTCTCATGGTAACTAGTCTGGGGCAGTGGATTAGACTGATCCGAGATATTTTCCCTTCTAAAGCATTTCCTGTCTTTAAACATTAAGTTCCCAGGTGTGGAATTTCTCCTTCACCTCTCTCTATTTCCCAGTAGGTTTTACATTATCACCTCGCTGAATATATTATGATAAAGTTTCAAGATTCTTTTGTAAAAATGCACCTGCCATCTCCCACTGAGTGTATTCAAGTGAAATAGCTGGCCACGGGTTTACAATGGTCCCAGTGGAGCAGAACACATAAAACATGCTGTGCATGGCAGATAAGAGGAGAAAAATAGAAAATTATTGAGCTGTAATTTTATTATCGGCCCTCAACACCCTGAACAGACAGACCTGACTCTTTGCAGTAGACTACCTGACTGTGAACGCTGACATTTAATTTGCTGTGAGGGGAGAGAAATAAATGCAATTCTCTAGCAATTACAAGAATTGTTTAAGAAATAAAAACACAACTTTTGCCATAAACCTTGCACCACTGAAAGGGGGTTTGCTCTGGATTTCTGTAGAGTTAAGATTTCACCCTGGGGATTTATAGTTTCTGGGTCTGATCAAAGAAGAAGAAAAAAATGTGACACTGCTTTGCATGACTATAAATGACATGTGTCTGAATTTGAGTTGGCATTAGGCAGGGGACCCCAACCTTCCTTGGCCTGTAGGCAGCAACACTGATCAGTTAACATGCTCAGACAACATCATACTTTGCTCCCCGAGTCAATCAAGGTCCCAGCCGTGATGGCCATAAACATCAGAGAATCCTGCAGGCAGCTTGTTCCATGTGCAAACACACTTACCATGCAAAACATCAGAGAACTAAAGCTCCACAGTCAGCAGTGGAGTAAACAATGCAGCCAGAGGGGGGTTTTCCTCCCCCCACTCCCTAGCAAGTCCCACCCCAGATGACCAGCAAGTGTATATTCCCTCAGAGACAGTCATTACCATGCCACGGTCTCACTGGGCTCTATTCTCCCTAAGCTGTCAGGCTGGATGCTCCCACCACTTTTTTATGCTGATCAGTTTTGTCAGGTTCTCAGTAGATCTTTATTTTCCCCTACTAGTTTGTATCCACCTGTAACATTTGTGTTTCACTTACATGAGAGACTCTTCCATTACTGGGGAATCTAAGGAATTGTGGAGACCCAGTAGAAGCTCATCAGCCTTGAGCAGCATTGCCCTACAGGTAGCAATACCCCTGGGGAGGGATCTCCAGTGTGAAGAGATTCTCAGGAAATCAGGGTTTCCCTCATAGCTGCAAGGAAAAGGAAGGGGTTGCTGCTCTGCTCCAGCAGTGAGTTACTGCTTCACCACACCAAGGCTCACAAGAGCATAGCCCGAGTTTCACCGGGACATCTCACACCCCCACTCTAGACAGATCACACCTGCATGCAAAGTGTCCATTGTCTTGATGTCTAGGTGCAAAGATATTGGATGTTCTTGTTTCCACTTGTGAGTTTATCAGAGAAAATGGATTATTATTTTTAATCATTCTATTCTTTCTAATTTAGAATCTCTCTTTTCTCATACATTTCTGTAGACTTTTTTCCCCCCGAGAATTATGCTGTCATGGCCATTGTGATAGAGTCTAGCTGCACACAGAACTCACATGGTTGTGGCTGCCCCATCCCTGGAAGTGTTCAAGGCTGGGTTGGAAGGGGCTTGGAGCAACCTGGGATAGTGGAAGGTGCCAGGGGGTGGAATGAGATGAGATGAGATGAGCTTTGAGGTCCCTTCCCACTCAAACCACTCTGTGGTTCTATGAGTCTATGATTATTGGTAACATGAATGACAAGCATGCAGAAGAAACAAGCCCTGAATTAAAATGCCATCATGTTTGTTTTGCCATCTTTGTTAGAGCAAACTCCTTCTCATGTGAGACATTTGTGACCACTGAGATAACTGAGGGATTCACAGAAGTCTGTTGTCTGAGAGCCATCACCTCTTCCCCATCAATCTAGATTATTTTTCCATATTTATTTGTATTAATAATGAATTTGTATAATTTATATCATATTTAAATCACATCTGACTGGATGACTGAAGGCAGAGTACTTCCAATGGGAAATGGTGCAGGGAGGGCTTGTTTTAATCAATATTCAGTGAACACACATAGTAAAATCAGAGCAGAACTTTTTTTGCTAAAGCAGCATTCAGTTTCTGAACTGTCTGTTCCCACATGAGCATTTCTGTGACTATTTCTTACCAAATAACGTATTTGTTGTGTTTCTCAGGACACACATAAGCACTCCATAGGATTCTTCCAGCTCAGTCCTTATGCTCTCTTTGTGTTTATCCTCATGAAGATGTTTCACTCCTGAGAGGCACAGAAGCCCTTTGCCTTCATTTATAGTGAGTGGTGATTAACCACATGCTGGGTGGAACTCTTTCAGCAGAGCAGTCTTCACAGAAACCCCTTTACAAATGACCCTCTTTAGAATGAGCTGGTAGTCTTTAAAACCCATCAAGTTCATCTTTGTCACAGGGTTGAAGAGGCTCCAAAGTGAAATTATGCTCCAAACTTGGTTATGCTCCATATACACCACAACTGCTAAGGAGGCTTTTCATTCCCATTACATTTTTCATTCAGTAATCTCAAGGTATTTTGTGGATTTATATAATTTGTCCAAAGAGTTCAGCAACTGTTACACACTCATAGCAGGACAAGGCTGCTGGTTGAACAAAACATGAGCAACTTAAAAAAGACCTTGAGGAAGGGTTTGTATAGATTTAGTGCAGTTGCAGGGATATAGTCACCTGGTATTAAATCACACTCTCATGGCTCTCTGTACATTATCTAAAGCCATGCAATCAATACCATAAAGTTTAGGAAGAGGCCACATCCTGTCAGTTGGCATGAATGATCACAGCTCCTCTCTCTGGCTGGGTTACAGAACCTGAGAAGGTATTCTTTTGTATCCTCCCTGCCAGAAGGATCCTTTGTGCAAAACAGAGATTATAAACAGAGGGAGTTGGTGCCCAGCTTCCTGCCCCAGGGACCCCTCAGGTAGGGGACAGGGGGCAGCTGGAACATGGCACATCCTAGGACACTGCTCAGCTTCCCCACAGCTGCAGCACCATTAGCACTTGCTCTAACTTCCACAGAGCAGGTTTATAAAGTACTAGACAGTCTTATAATGGCAGCTGACAGCAAATCCACTCCTACACCATATTCTTAACCCTCTTCCCAAATTTTAAAAGGCTACTCTCATAAATAGAAACTGTGAGGACTCCTTTGTTTATTCCGTGAAATCCGAAGCTGACTACAATATTCTGAGGCATGGAAAATCCTAGTCTAGCGTGTTCCCAAAAGCGTGTTTCTGCATTTCTAGCCAGTGTTCCATTTACAGTATGAGCTACTGTAATAGAGTTGCTTTTGCATGATGGCTAATTGCATTTTTCAGTGACACGTGGCATGGGCTATACCATGTCACTGGTTATTCTGTTTATGGGGAACATGTACTGGTTGACATAGCATGGTTCCTCCATCAATTCCTGATCCTTAAGGGCCTGAAAGTTCACAGAATAAAATTCACAGAATAAAATTCCTCACCAGTTTCTCTACTAAATTCTGCTTTCTGCAGAAGCCTTCAGATGTGG